TGTGAGGACTGGAGCCACTCTGATTCCATTGTTTGTGGGACTCTTTCCTCACCTACCCTGCATGATGTTGTAGGCTAGATTTTCACTTTAGTACATATATGGCTCAAAGCGCAGAAGGAATACTACCACAGTGTTAATTAGGCAAAAGGAAAATTTTATTGTAACAATTACAAGTGAGAAAAGTAAGTAGTATCTTATTTTCCCTCTAGAATGGAGAGATTTTCTAAGATAGGCATCTGGCTGTCTTTTCTACCTTTTGAAAATGTTTCCCTTGTCAATATCTTAAGGCACCTGAAAACGAATTAAAATATTCTGGATTGGTGGAGTGGAGTAAAAGCACACAGTCACTCACTCGTGCTGAAAGATGGTGGTACCTATGTATTTCCAAAAGTGATCTTTGCATTTTGCCCCCCAAAGAGTATCTGACCTCAATGAATCTCTGATTAGCTGAGAGAGCAGTTTTCAATTACATATAGGCTCTTCTCAAAGAGGGAAACAGCTCGTTTGAATATCTATCCTATTACTATGACAAACACTTTTTTTTTTTGCTTGTGTCACAGGCTTACCCACAGCAAACTTGAGTGTTTATAACTTTACTGTTGTGGAAGGAAGGAGTGCTACACTGTACTGCGAGGCTACTGGAGTGCCATCTCCCAATGTCTCCTGGGTTGTCCCTAATCTTGTTTCAAAACATGAGGTAAGGTTTTTTGTTTTTTTGTTTTGTTTTTTACTTTCAAATAGCTGGCTATCCAGAGATGGGATTTACCTGTTGAAGTATAGTGTGTGGCTAATCTTCAGCTTATTATGTTTCATAATCGCAAATGCACAATGGCAAATGGTTTATATTGCATTTGGTTCGCAGCTATTCTTATTCCACAGTAATTGAGGCAGTGCTTAGAGACAAACCAACATTTCTTCCTTTGAGAAAATGGTTTTTATTTACATTTTTGTTCTTCCAGTTATACAATTCTATGGTAGGTTCCTGGTAACATAATGAATGAGGAGAGTGAAGGTCAAGTGAGTTTTGGTTGTCTCCCTTTATATATAAAA